ATGTGGATCTATGAGAGTCATGCCCGTTTTGATTCTAAGAATTGCCAACTAGTGGGATCTGCTGAAAAGTTCCAAATGGAATGGATCAGGATTGTGCTATTGTGTATGTCACGGGTTGAGTTATGGGCAACTCAAATATGGCTCTGAGTGGTTAGCCATACTTTGGGTCACTATAAAAGGGTATGAGTGGGGTAAAAATGGTTGTGTAGACGTTGGATAAGGATTTGACTAGGGAACTAGTGGTTGAGAGGCCATTTGATATGAATAAGTTGGTGGGTTGCTTGACTGCTTGTTTATGGGATAAGAGGTTCTTGGTGGAATATAGGTTCAGGTATTTAGAGGATAAGAGCGAGAGGGTGGTCTAAAAGCTGTAGCTGAAGGGTTCAAGGAAATTCCGGTAGTGTTTTCAGCTTGGGATTATGGGTTAGCTAAGACACTTCCTAGCTGGGGTAGTGAGGATAAGGGTACTGCTCGAAGCCCTATGGTAATGGAAAGTGAAATTGGAGGAGTGTAGCTCTGTAAATTACCTCCAACGAGAGGCTTGCTTCCACAGAAGATCCGTCATGGATTCCGGCGATGGAAGACCGAACTGATGAAGAGTGTTCCGCCTTGTTTCGACCACTCATTTGCACCAACATCTCCTCAATCCATTCAATCCGCTTTGACGAGTCAAAAGACTCCACCATCTTAGCTTCAAAACTCCTTGCTTCTCCTCTAGTCCATCCTCTGTTCCGATTTTTTCATGAAAACTTGTAGCTGAACTTCAACCTTTCTAAGTCCGTCATCGTCAGACTGATTTTTGTGTTTATCCACCATCCTTGAATTGTCAAGATCGAGTTCTGGATACCAATTTGTAGCAGCTGCTACTATGAAATTAAAGAAAAAGATAATAAAATAATAAAAGAAGGAAAAATAATTAAAATGTCAATTTTGTCATATCTAGATACCTTGCTGAATACAAGGACAGACAATATATGCCAAACAAAACAAGAAAGGACAGCTGGTTTTATGTAACAAACTAATTAACAAAATGACACATGTCCTGCTCCTAGAACCTAGGAGGACTTAATTGAAAAAGTAAATACTACTGGACTAGAATAGAAATAACTAAAGTAGATGGACTTAATTAATAACTCCTTGATATGGCTGCACATCATGCATGACTACTTCAGTTAATAGACCACCATCACTACAAGTGAATAATCAACCTCATATTATTTACTTGTTGATTGTTTGGATCGACTTACGAATTTTTTTGAGAGATATATAAGAAGTTTGAAAGATTTCTTCAAAACTCAAAAGACATCATGCCGTTTCTCATAAAGAAAGAAAAGGAACTCTGTACTCCAATTTTAATGTCTTTCGGAGTAGTCATTTGTAGTGACGACATAATGATGACATAATGATTGATTAATTTTTTTTATAGCAATTGACTGATACTGTATGAGTTATAAATCATGGTCATCAAAAAAATTTTGTTTACCTCCATATATTTGCGTCATTGCATTATCATTTTAGATTATGTTGTTGTGACTTAACATAATCCAATGTAGCATGTTGAATTATGCATCTAGGGATGGCAAAAGTTGAATTATGCATTTAATGGGATGGTCATGAAGAATTATGTTGTTGTGATTTAACATTGAATTATGCATTTAGTGGGTTGGGCATAAAGAATTTTCCTGATGGGCTGTTGTCACGATCCCAAATCTCCTCCGTAAGATGTCGTGATGGAACCTAGTCTCTAAGACTAGGTAAGCCTAACAAACATGCGGAATAACTGAACAATAACCGAAAAATCTCAAAATGTCAACAACTATATAAAACAAATTTGCAACTCAACATGTACATTTTTCAAAACCCGGTGAAATATAAGTCACAAGCGCTAGATACAATATTGAACACTCCTATACATCACTGTCTATAAAGGTATAAAGAAATAATAAAGGAACATGATAGAAGGGGACTCTGAGGCCTGTGGACGCGCGGGTATACCTTGAAGTCTCCAATAAGCAAGCCACTCGACGTGCTAACGCCAAGGCTGATAGGATGTATCTAGATCTGAACAAAATATGTGCAGAAGCGTAGTATGAGTCCACCACAATGGTACCCAGTAAGTTCTAAGCCTAACCTCGATAAAGTAGTGACGAGGTCAGGTCAAGGCCCTACTAGAGATAATAAGAAACACGACAGAAGATATAATGATAAAACAAAATGATAGGGAAGTTAAACAAATAAGAATTTACAAAGGTAACAACACGGAATGAAAGGAAGAAAATACAACATGAAAGGAAACAAGAATCTTACATGTTAAGGAAACAACAACCAAACAATACAGCAAATAGAGAAGACCAACAGGGGCACTCCCGAGGTACCGCCTCGTAGTCCCAAACCATAAATTAGCTCATAGTCTTTCCTTATATCACTGCAGGAGCCTTTATATTTTATTTTGAAAATCATTTTTTTGAAATAGCATACAGTATTTTATCCCACCTTATCACACTGCATGACTTCTAGTAGTTCCCTTACTAGCCACGCGTATCAAGCCCACCTTATCTCACCGCATGCGTTTCAACACCCAGACCTTATACCACCGCATGCGTATCAATAATCACAATGGAATGGCAGAAACCTCATGCAACAATAGCAATCGCACGGCAGAAACCTCGTGCAACAATAACAACAACACAGCAGAAACCTCATGCAAAACAGCCAAACAATCACCTCAACAATAACACGAAAACCAAGCATAAAAACTACATAAAATGAATGTCACAACTTACACCTTGCCTCAACAGAAACCACGGCCTTTGCAGCTCAACACCAAACTCAAATGTCGTAAGAGACTATCTAATTCCTTCTGCTCTGCTCGGAAGACAAACAAGAGGCCTTCATGGATTCTACCGCATTTATGGTAGGATCCGCTGAGGTAGTGGGCCACTGAGAATTTCTAGAAGAGCGGTGAATAGGGAAAGAAGGCCCGAGCATCTCAGAAGAGTAGCTCCTTCCACTATGTGGGTGCAAGGAGCATGGGGACTACGAGGAGACTACTGGTAATTCCTTAAAGTATTTAAATTTAATTTTATATAACTATATTTATTTTAGTTTAGTTAACATATTTTATTATATTTGTGAAAAAAATATGGGAGAAAGCTGACTCACGATGAGTTCTTCATGGAGACTCACATCTGTAAGAAGAAGGCAGTGACAGATCCTAGTAGATGGGTCGAGGACCAGTGAAGACTACTTATGTAAATTTTTTAACTACAATAACTTAAAATTAATGTTTATACTATTGTATAGTTAATTATTTTTTATCTCCTAAATAAAGGGTCACTATAAGACTACTATGGAGGAGTACAGTCTGAGATTGTCACCGAATGAGGAAGGCGATCCACCTTCCATTTCAGACGAAGAAGCGCAAAAGATTTTGTTGGATGTTGTCGGTGGTCCTAAAAAGGGGATAGCATACGGCCTTCCAGAGAGATCATTTCGGCGCTATAGGGCTGGATTGCAAGGTATAGGGACTTCCGCCCAGGGCGAGACACTTGATAGGTTGACTCTCTCGGCTATGGAGAAGAAGATCGCAAAGCTGTCAGCAGAGCTTGAAGAGGCAAATGCTAGAGAAGAAAAGACAAATAAATAATTTGATAGCCTTCAAGGTCAGCTAGAAAAGAGGGACCAACAATTTATGTCCTCCAATGTCAGCTGGCCAATCTTCTTGCTAGTGGTGCTTTCTCGATTCCTCGGTCTCGTAAGTCTTTCCCAGATGCTAATCCTTCTCGTCGTGATCCTTCGAACCATGCCGACGATGAAACTTCTAATAGTGGAGATGGAAATGATGCAATACGAAACACTCCTTGAATGGTGTGTATTGCTAAACAAAGTCTTGAACTTGTGAATATTTAGTTCGAATGGTTTTGAATGATGATTGTATTGTTGATATTGGATTATTGATATTCTTTTGCTGATATTATTTTGTTATTGAACATTTGTATTATTGTTGCTGTGGTTGGCGTTGTTTAATTGTTGTTGTTATCAGCGTTGTTGTTGTGGTAGGCGTTGGTTAATTGTTGTTGTTGTTAGTTAATTGTGGTTGAATGGTAGCAATGTAATGATGCCATTATAGGACGGTCATTGGCTGTAATTGGCAGGTGGTTCAGCTTAAAAGCAGCCATATTCTGCCATGATTTTACCTAGAATACCGACCGATTCGATCAGAATGCTCATATTAAAAGCCCAAAAATTCATAATTTTTGACCGACTTCGGTCGGTAATTTCAATGTGCAATATGCAGAAATTTAAAATTACCGACCGATGTCGGTCGAAATAACCTTTTTTTAATATTTATTTTTTAATGATTCCAATCGATATTGGTCGATATGTTAAAATTTTAAAAAAAAATGTAACATTACCTAATAATTATATTACCGACCGAAATTGATCATTATTTTAAAATAAATAAAAAATAATTTACATATTACCGACCGATTTCGGTCGGTATATTTATTTTTCCAACAAAAATTGTCAGATAAAGGGGTCAAACTTTGGTTGAATTAACCGATCGACCTCGATCGAAAATAGGCGACTGTCTTCGGTCGCCACACGTTAGCGACCACTATTTTTTCGACGAATTAAAATCGATCGAAAATCAGTCGGTTTTTCTACATTTCCATTCGATTTCGGTCGGTTTTCTTGGACGAATTTTGGCCGTTTTCTAGTCGTGAGATCAAGAGTTGGACTCAAAATTTTAGGAAATGGAAGTGATGAAGAACCCTAACTAGTTCCAGAGAACAATAGAGGAGAAGTTTTAGTGAGAGAACTTTGTATCAAGAAATGATCTGGCTTACATAGTAATGAGATACATTTGCCTTTAATGACACTAACTTCCCAACCTCCAACTAACCTCACGTGTATAACCTGGCATCTCATCTGTTAATTAACCACTAAATCCTACTGTTATTTATAGCTTTGACCCTCTATACATGTGTCATGTTACTCCTACTTTATCAATTTTACCTTTTATTGACCACATGGGTAACAATATATTATTGACCAAATAAATAATTCTCAAAACCGCAAAGGCAGGAAACCATTTTCTCTCTCTTCTCTCACCTGCATGCGCACGTTAGTGGTGAGTACTAACATACGCCATCGCCGGAATGCCTAGAAAGGGGAATCAGAGAACAACGAACAAGGAGACAATGACGGAACTGACGGAACGACTTACTGAGGATAGAGATCTAGGGTTGGGATCTGGAAAAGTGCGATCAATGACGGAAATTTTGAGCAAAACACCGAGACCGGAGATGATTATCGGAGAAATCAATACACCGACCAACCGGCCGGTATTACGGGAGATGAATGCAAATGTGACGCCAGTAGTGCTACAACAGAAGGCAAAGACCATACCTAGGTCACAAGGGGAAAACATGCAAGCTACTATTCGATTGGAGAATTCAATCTCTCCGAACACTGGAACACAACAGGGTAGTATAAGTCCAATAGCTAAAGGAAGTGAAGTGATTGAAGTAAAAACTAATGAAAAGGCACCTATTCTGGCGGAACAACAGACAGAAAAGGCAAATACTGGAAAAGAGAATAAAAATTGGGCGAACCTGTTTGAAGGGAATAGAATGGCTGCAAAAGGTATGAATCTCACTTTCATTGCTCCTCAAATTCGTAATGGTGTCAAAATTGTGGAATTGGAAAAGGAAGAGGTGGATAAGGAGGCAGAGAAATGGCGAAATGCTATAATAATATATGTAATTGGGGAAACGCCTACAATTAGGGCTGTTGAATGATTCATTGCATCACAGTGGAACTTCACAACCAAGCCTAAAGTTTACTTGCACAATGAAGGCTATTTCATTGTCAAATTCACATGCAAGGATGACCAAAATGAGGTCCTGGTTTTAGGGCCATATACAATCAACAACAAGCCTATAATAACCAAAGCTTGGAATTCGAATTTCAATTTTGATGAGGAGGTATTAAAAATCATACCCTTATGGATAAAACTTCCAAATTTACCACTCAATTGTTGGAGTATGAACTCACTAAGGAGAATAGGGAGTGGACTAGGGATTGTACACCAAAGGTCGAAAGGGTCTCGTATGCAAGGATGCTCATTAAGATGGATGTCACTCAACAATTGCCAACAAAGGTGAATATTGAAGACCCTAATGGAAAGATGTTTGTGAGCACGTGATTTTTGCCCGACCAAAATACTCCTACAAAATCTCAAAATAGATTTTTTGTAGTTTAGTTTAATTTTTATAGAATTTCTAGGAATATTTGCTTAACTGTTTGCATTTTTGTTGCATTTTTGCATATATTAAAAGCATAGAAAATAACCAAAAAATATGTTTAAGTCTCATGCATTGCATTCTTAGGTTGATAGTTGCATTTTAGTTTAATTGTCAATTAATTGCATTAATAAAACAAAAATAAAAAAAAATTATATAAATTATTCCATTTTGGCTTTAATTTTATAAATTAGTACCTTGCTTTCAGTAGTATTAAATCAATTAATTATTTTAGTATTACAAATAGATAATTAAGTTAATTTTACAGTGCTAGGTTGTTTTAGGATTTAATTTAGGTTTAATTAAGTTTTTAAAATTGGAAATTAAAAAGAAATCAAGTCAATGCAAAAAAGAAGAAGTGTAAAATCTGGTTTGGACCCGAAATTGGGCCAAAACCATTTCTGAGCCCAAATCCCTACCCAATCAGCCCCAGCCCAGCTCCCCATACCCGGTCCAGCCCCATTAAATCTTAAACGACACCGTTTTGTGTCTTTTAATCCCTATCGTTGATTTTATTTGATCAGACGGTTGGGAACTAACCCCCCATCTACCATATAACTGTCTTAATGTTACCCCCTAATCCCTAAACCCTCTCTCAGTCTCTCTTCTCTCTCAAGAGATCAAACCCTAGCCGCCTCCAAATCCTTCACCGCCTCCGCCGCCTTCCGCCTCGCCTCACGGCGGTGGCCGGTCACCAAACCACCCCAAATTTTCACCTTACACTCCTCATACTCCCCTGAACATTAATCTACCATTAGTTTCCCCAAAATCCCCACCTATTTTCTTTAAATTCAGATCCGAATTTTTAAAGAAACCCTAATCCACCCTAATTCCGATTTCTTGCTTCCAAGGCTCGATTTGACTCGAGACTTGCATTAAGCAAGTTTGCTGTTGTTATTGAGTCCAGGAAGGTGGTTAGTTTGTTTGGCATTCTGGAAAGTCACCCATATAACACCAGGTCTAAACACAAGGCGATTATGGCTAGCAAAGAATTGGACGCAAGNAACCCGTGGACCTCCATGGCATAACCCAAGGACCATTTTCTTTTATCTCGGCATAACCCGTGGACCCCCTAGCATAACCCAAGGACCCTTTTTCTTTTATCCCGGCATAGCCCGTGGACCTCCCTTATTTACCAGATTTATTAATATTGTCACATTCACTTCAGGGAATAGATTATTATTATCAAAAGTTCTCATCCTTCAGGAAAATCGAACATAATTATCTGAATGCGCATTAATCACATCAAATTATGATGCCTCAACCTCTTTTAGAATATTTACTACTTCAGGAGCAAATCGAGGCGTGCATTTAATATAGAGAATATTTATGTAGCTTATCTTCAATTGTAACCATAGAAAGCCTAAATTATTACTTCTGGTGATCATAGGTATATACCACTTCTGGTGGTTAACAAAATATAGTTACAATGTGGTATACGAAATATAACCACTTCTGGTAGTTGTATATTTCTTGCAAACTCTACTAGAGTTTAAGTTGATCTAATAATGTTATCCATATTCTTCAAAATGACATAAATAAGATATATTATAGTAAACATCATTATCAAATCATAATTTTTCTTTATGTACAACAATTAAATAACCATACTATCTATTACAAACAACAAAAATTAAAATATTTACATTTCTACAAATTCACTGCCGATTACATGACTTGTTTCTCCTTCTGGGAGTGCAAAGTAATCAGCTAGGTCCAAATGCATAAAGTCTAAATTACCTTCAGAAATAAAATTTGTTTCAGCATTTTTCTCTGTCTTCTTCAGGGAGGCTTGATAAAGCTTAACCAGGTGCTTTGGCGTACGACAGGTACGTAACCAGTGCCTTTTTCCTCCACATCTGTAGCAAGCATTTTCTGCATTTGGGTTCTTTGGTGCATTATTATTACCATGATTAGAGTTTCTTCCCCGACCACGGCCATGACCACGACTGGGGCCACGACCTCTTCCATGTTTAGCTTGGTGGAAGTTCGTCTCATTCACTTCAGGGAATGGACAAGAACCAGTAGGTCGGCTTTCATGGCTTTTCATTAATAGCCCATTATGTTGCTCGGCTACAAGAAGATGTGAGATAAGTTCAGAATACTTTTTAAGCCCCATCTCTCAATATTGCTGCTGCAGGAGCAAGATATCATACAATCAAGCATCTGTGTACATAATGAACTGAAAACTCTTCTATTTATAGAAGAAAGGAAGCTGCTGTGTAAGCTACTACTGCAAGCTGCTGTGTAAGCTGCTACTACAACCTGCTGTGTAAGCTACTATAAGCTGCTGTGTAAGCTACTACAAGCTGGTGTGTAAGCTGCTACTATACCAGATATGGATAATCTTATACTAAGATTAATGTTTATCCATAACGGAGTACTGAAAGGATAAGCTCATTATACCCGGTACGGATAATCTTCTACCGGGGGTAGTGTTTATTCATAATGGAGTATCGAAAGGATAAGCTTATTATACCCGGTATGGATAATCTTCTACCGAAAGTAATATTTATCCACAACCGGGTACCGAAGTGATAAGCTTCTTCAGGAGGCTTATTTCCAATAGAGTACTAAATAGATAAACATATTTACGGCGGAGCCCCATATGGATAAACTTCTTCAGGAAGCTTATTTACAACGGAGTATGAACATCCATAATATAATATATTTATAATAGTTTTAACTCAAAAATGGTTTCATTCTTTCTAATGTCTTTCATACGAAAAAAGAAAAATAAAAAACAATCAAAATCCAAATTACGGGTTCCAAAAAAAATCCAAAAATCATAAACAAAAATCCTGCGATGTAAGCAAGGTTCGGTCAGATCGTATTCGCTCCTTTATCTTTGCCCGAAAACTCTTCGTGTCGGCAAAGAGGGGCAGTGTGAGCACGTGATTTTTGCCCGACCAAAATACTCCTACAAAATCTCAAAATAGATTTTTTGTAGTTTAGTTTAATTTTTATAGAATTTCTAGGAATATTTGCTTAACTGTTTGCATTTTTGTTGCATTCATTTTAGTTTAATTGTCAATTAATTGCAAGAAGAAGTGTAAAATCTGTTTGGACCCGAAATTGGGCCAAAACCATTTCTGAGCCCAAATCCCTACCCAATCAGCCCCAGCCCACCCCAAGCCGCCCCTAAACCCTTCACCGTCTCCTTCGCCCTCCGCCTCCGGAAATTGCCTCGCGGCGGCGGAGACACCCTAAACTCGCCCAAAATTACCCATAGATTCCCAAAAACCCCACCAAATTCCCCATTTTTCAGATATGGAATTCCACCAAAAACCTAGGTCGCCCAAATAACCCTAAAATTACACCCTATAACCTCCACACTCCCCTAACTCCAAATCCCGTAATGATTTTCCCAAACAACTCCTTTAATCCGTCAAATCTCAAATCTGAAAAAAAAGAGCAACTGTCTTTGCATGTTCAAGGTCCTCCGTTGTTTCTTCATTCGTGTAGTTCGAAACTCACCCCAATTGGATTGTTCTTGACAAGAACAATCATTTGGGGTCAATTTCGAATTATCTCGAAATTCAGCCATTGTAGGGGTGTGCATTCGAATCGGTTTATCCATAAATTGAATCGATTATTTGTTATCGATTTATTGATATCGGTTTATTGCTTTATCGATTTTGAATTCGATTTCGAAATTTTCCTTATCGAGTTAACGATTTCGATTTCGATTTTGTCCTGTTCGGTTATCGGTTTATCGATAAACCGATAAGATTTATAAAGTTCTTAATATTTTTCTTAATTTCTTCCAGGTTTAAAGGTTAGGACTTTCAGCAAGGGATACCACATTTAAGGAGTGATCATATTTAAAGCTCAAAGGAATGAAGTTCAAATTAATGGAAAACAGAATTAGCCGTGATGATGTATTTTTTTTATACCGTTGGAGTGTTGGTGGCATACATTTGATCCCTTACTTTAGTTTCATTGCATGTGCTTGTTGATACAATTTTTATGTTATAAACGGTGTTCGTCTTATTTTAGCTTCTTTTTGTCCATATTAGTTAGGCGTGTTTATAGCGATATACTTTTCGTGGAATCCCGCAAATTTTCTTATTGGTGTAATCGATTACCGAATCGATAAGCCCCAAAAATTGATAAATCAAAATCGAAAAAATCAAAACCTTATTGAAACGATAACGATAAGCATATGTACAAATTGATAATCGATAAGTAATTATCGATAAGGGTCAAAATCGAATCGATAAATTGAATGCACACCCCTAAGCCATAGAGACGCTTCACATTCTCCCTGGACATCCCTTGTTAGGTATTTTTTTGGTCTTCGTTGTTTCATTTTTAGGTTTGATTTTCCTCTCCTTAGTACTTTCCACTATTTGTTGTTATTTCAATTTTATTGTTTATTTTTGTTTTCTCTTTCAATTTGACAGTAGTCTGGGATCTATTCTTAGTTAAATTATTAGTTTAGTTATTAATCATTAATTATTAGATGAGTTAGAAATCAAATCAGTTCTTTTGATTAAGTCAGTAATTCAGTTAGTTTCTTTTAGGTTGCCATGTTTGTTCAAATCACTGTTTTATTAGAATTTTCTTTTATTAATTAGCCGTTTGATATAAGTCAAAGCATTACTTTAGTTTTAATCAATGTATGCCTAATTGCCTAATTAGCCTACGGTCAGCTTTTGTCTCATTCAGTAGTTTTATTTTAACTGTTTCGGCATTAATAGAAACTTGTAGGGGTAATTGAACAATAAAGAAAACTTAAGGGGGATCACTGGAAGGGTGTGTAAATAGAAAATGGGATAAGACTATGGTAGAAGGTTCTAGAATATGGGCAGCTGGCCCTATTTGGCCAGTACAAAATAGTGAAACCAATTAGGGGCGGCCAGCTGTCCAATTCTGTTGAAAGATGCTCTTTGTGGGATGAAGGGAATAATTCCCTTATCCTTTCAGCACATGGAATTTTGATACCTATAAATAGAACCTTTCTTCACTCATTAGGCAGAAATTTCAGACCCTAAAAACACCTCTGAAAATCCAGCTCTATTGTTCCATCAGCTTTTCCATTTTTCTGCTTTTCACTAAAAGTTTGGAACAGTTTCTCCTTTGAATTTCTGGGTTTTCTTTAGCTGAAATATGGCTTGATACTAAAGCTGTGTGTTGGTTCATAGTGTTGTTTCTTTGCTGTTGATTCTGCTGTTTCCTGCTATCTTCTGCTGATTTCAGAAAAATCTATTTCTTTATTTTTGCTCTGTATCCAGGTACTTCTTTGAGCTTTGAATGATGAATGAAGTGCAAGCATATTTTTGAAGGGTGTACTGCTGGTATAAAGTTTAATATTCATGATGAATTTTGGTTTTTTTATGTTCTTTCAAGTTATTTAACTTTTTCCTTTAACTTCTTCCTTTCTAGCTTCTACTTAAGTGAGATAAATCTAATGTGTTATTCCATGAAGTAGTTGGGATGTCCAGTATTGAATGTTCTGAATAGTTCATTTTTCATGTGTTTGTTTGGAAGATCAGGATGAGTACGTAATGTCATTAGCTCATTTTTTATTAAAAGGGTGTGTTGATTAGTATACTGGCCATAATGTATCTTTAAGTTTGAGGTCAAGTTCACAGACTTTCAAAAGAAAATCATGGTTCAATTGCTAAATGATGTCCAGATTTATTATTTTAGGAATCCAGTATTTATAAAGTGACTATACATCTGATGTTAAGTGTGATTAATTAGTAGTATAAAGTAGTTCAAGCTAATATTAATGTTATTAATGGCGTTATTTATGCATGTGTGATTTTCAGAATTTAATATAGCGTTTTGTTATTTGTGTGTTTGAAGAGATTGACTTCAGTTAGGGTCTTAGCATATTAAAGGCCTTCCTGTTAAAATTGCTGGGCCTGGTGTTAGCACAAAATAGTTGAGCAACCGTGCTAAAATCACGGAACCCGGGAATGCCTAACACCTTCTCCCGGGTTAACATAATTCCTTACGCGGATTTCTGTGTTTTGCAGACTGTAAAACAGAGTCAAACTCCCTCAATTCGGAATTTTAAATCGGTGACTTGGGATACCATAAATTATCCCAAGTGGCGACTCTGAATTTGAATATAAATAATCCCGTTTCGATTGTCACTTAAATTGGAAAAACTCCTTATACCCCTTTCGGGTAGAAAAAAGAGGTGTGACAGCTCTGGCGACTCTGCTGGGGAACGAACCCAGAATCTCTGGTTCAGGGTTCAAGAATTCGAGCTTTTAATGATTTTTACTTGGCTTTGTTTATTGTTAATATTACTGTATTTTGTGAACCTAATATGCTAATTGTTGTTGATTTACCATTTCGATATTATTTGAATTGTATTAAAATGCCTTCTTACGCCACCCTTCCGAGTCTTCTAAAATATGGTGCACACGTACGTGTGGCCCACTTTCTGTTAGAAGTCATACCAATTAGAACGAGGCTTAGGATAGCAACAAGTCCGGGTAGACTTTCGTGCTCCCGGTACGTTGCCCCCACCTCGGCTCGAGCTGTCCGCTCGGGTAAGCCAGGTCTAGAACACAATGCCAGGTTTAAACCTAGAATGACATAACCTCATGCCGGATCCCTAGTAAGAACGTTTGCTTGCATCACGTGCATTTGACTTAGGGGACTCAACATAGGGGTTGGGTCCGTCTAGGACAGGTGTACCCAAAATAACAGACCATTCTGATGTATCTTATGTGCTATGTGAACATTTATTTGTTTCGGCTTGCATGCTGACCGATTAGGGAAAGAAATCAAGAGAAAGACCAAGAGTGATGGAGGAAGGAAATAAAACCCAGTTCTGGAAACCCCGGTATTTGAAAATATCCCGAACCTGCCGCATTTCAAAACAAGTCATTCATAAAATTATGTCAAAACTGACCGAACTACGCAGGTCTGTTTCTCACCGGATGTGGGATGCGTAGGCAACCTACATAGGGTTCGACCTCATTTTTTTTGTGCAAAAGTAACCAAATAAAATGAAGTGTAGTTTGGGATCTGGTCAAAAGAATAAGCCGACCCAGTTTCGGTTGTGTCTTAAACCGTTCTTGCCGAGATAGCCTTAGAGTATCTTTCAATGTCGAAGGGTTATTTCGTAAAGAACGGACAAGTCTGTCAGTGAGGTGTCATTTTTCTAAAGTATCTTCCCCTGGCCTCAAAATTTATTTGGAATTGTGAGGGGCACACATTTACAAAACAACCACTTTTGTTGAAAATAGTGTAGGGGGGAAGGGCCATTCTCCCTCGATTCTTGTTTTTTCCCTTTAGAGGCTAAGAACTAGTTTTCAGAAAAGTCCACCAGAGTCGGCCCTAACCTTAACCATCCACATGTACAAAATGAACACTGTCCAGAACCCGGCACTATTGGTCATAGAACATGCTCAGTTGCAGCTGCATATGTGGTGGTATGATTTGGATGAAGATGGTCAGGATTGGGTGAAAGAGCATTTGGGTGCCCTTACGGACATTATGGAAATCAAACCACGGAAGGATTTAATCAAGGCTTTGGTAATTTTTTGGGATCTTGTGCACAACGTTTTTCCTTTCTCGAATTTTGAGCTCACCCCTACTCTGGAGGAAATAGCCGAATATATTCACTTTGGCTGGGACTTGAGAAAACAACAACTTATATTCCCAAGGGCCCCCTCTGCGCACAAATTCTTTGAGCTTCTGAATATCAGCAAGCAAATGAAGAAGGCCCATGTGAACAAAGGAATGTTGTTCCTTTCACTTCTTGTATTCCAGGTTTGGGCACTCAGTTGGGTTCGAAACACACGAAAAGGGATTGAACAACAAACAGGACAAGAGCATTTGGCAAATTCATCGTAGGTTCGCTTTCATAGTGGCATTCTTGGAAATCATAGTCTTTTCGAATGCAGAGGGAACAATAAATACCCGTATGGCCAGAATTGCACAAATCCCCACTACAAAAAAGGATCACACACTTGCTCCTTTAGTGCTGGTAAATATTTATCGGGCATTGACATTGTGTAGATCCGGGGCTCAATTCTTTGAAGGTTGTAATATTCTTCTGCAAATGTGGTTGATCGAGCATCTCCACCATCACCCCAAATTCATGAGTTATGGTTCAAGCAAGGACATCTTCATCAAGAGTTATGAGGAAATGATGAAAGACTACAATTCTACAGAAGGGTTTGAAGCATGGATCTCCCACTTAAGAACTCTAAAAGCAAGTTAGATTGAATGGACTCTGGGATGGCTTCCGGTGACAGAAATCATACATATGACGGCTACAAAAGGCTACCTAATGTTGATGGGTTTGAGAAGTGTCCAGCCATACGCACCGCAGAGGGTTTTAAGGCAGTTGGGGAGATATCAGGTGGTGCCCGAAGATGAAGATTTAACTACCCAAGTCATTGAGCTACATCCAGAAGCTACATTTCCCGAGGCTTTAGTCCAGCAGGATTGGAATGGTTGCCAATATCCGAAAAATGGCACCCAGGTACCAGATATTGCGAGAGGGGAGGTGGATCCAGATTATGCCGTGTGGTTTGAGAAAAGTTCTTGTGCAATTAATGAGCCAGAGCCCGAGCCCGAGCCTGAGAGACCCGCCAAGAGACCGCATGTTCAGGCTTTTGATGACAAAGTCCGAGAAAGGTTGGCCTGGGGAGAGAAGGAGAAAAAATATCAAGCCTCCATTCACACTCTAGAAGATAAATTAAGAAACGTTGAGTTCAATTATGATCTACAAGTGCAAGAAGTTGAAGGTGAAAGGAGAAGGTTGGTCCAAGAAAACGAAGCCCTCCGAGCTCAGATTCAGAGGATGAAGATTCCGCTGAAAATCCGACCAGAAGCAGACAAGATGTAAAACTCATAAACAGTCTTAGATGGAAAGTGTGTGATTAC